CGTCGAATCAGTTTATCTAAACAAAAATATTATATTTTAATGAATTAATTTATTATTATTAATTATTCTTACAAAAAATTGGTATGCCGACTGTTGGAACATGCCATACCGACAATTGGCAAGTGGTGCCGACTACTGGCAAAAACATTGTTTTAATAAAACTACAAATTTATGAAATTTAATAAAAAGTTATTAAAACTTTATTTATTATTGCAAAAACTATACAAAATTTCGAATCTGAATAAATTAACAACGCGAAAATCCTAAAAGTGCCGACTACTGGTACACTGACTCTATAAGGAGGTGACGTTAAATTGGAGCTGTGCGAAGACCTAGACCAGCATAGACAATTTCCTGTCGCAGGGGGTAGCATCCATTATTAACTTCAAATTCCACATCTCAAACCATTTCGGTGGGTATTGTACCTAAAATCGTCAAAATACCGAATATAGGGAGGTACTGATATATGGGGCCTATACGAAGACCTGGACCCGCACAGACAATTTTCTGTCACAGACTGTAGTTTCTATAACGAACTTCAAATACCAATTTTGAAACAATTCCGGTGAATAATGTCGCTAAAATCATCAAAATACCTAATATAGGGAGGTACCGTTATATGGGGGCTATACGAATACGTGGACCTGCACAGACAATTTTCTGTCTTAGGGTGTAGTATCCATGTTGAACTTCAAGTACCAAATTTGAAACAATTCCCGTTAATAATGTCGTTAAAATCATCGAAAAACCGAATATCGGGAGGTACCGTTATATGGGGGCTATACGAAGACATGGACTTGCACAGACAATTTTCTATCTTAGACTGTAGTATTCATTACGAACTTCAAATACTAATTTTGAAACAATTCCGGGAAAAATGTCGCTAAAATCATCAAAATACCGAATATCGGGAGGTACCGTTATATGGGGGCTATATGAAAACGTGGACCTACATGGCCCATTTACGAACTTAACCTGCCTACTGCAAAAATAAATATGTGTGCAAAATTTTAGCCATCTATCTCATTTCATTCGAAAGATAGCGTGATTACAACAGACAGACATACGGACAGACGGAAGGACATCGCTAAATCGACTTAGAATTTTACGCTGATCAAGAATATATATACTTTCTTTGGTTTGACATGATTATTTCGAGGAGTTACAAACGGAATGACAAAGTTAATATACCCTCCATAGTATGGTGGAGGGTATAAAAAATGAATTCATAGTGTGTAATATCATTCTGTTTCTAATTTCTGCGTTTATAAGGTTCATGCCACTGAAAACTCTTCCAACTTCTTCGTTACTAAATGGTAAAACTAGACACTTCATAACAAAAGAAGACAATTCCTTGAACGGGTTTTCATTTAAAGCATTTTAAAATTCTTATACACATATCTTAAAGTAAATAAAATAAAGGTTCATGTAATTTAATTTTTTAGATTTAAGAAAAATTGGATTTATATGAAAGTACTAAAATGTAAGAAAATTTTTGGACAATGCTAAACTCATAGAAAATGCTAAACTCATAATTTCAAAAAGCTAAAAAATGCTAAATGAAAATTTTGCAGCTAAATACAAAAATTAATGTTAATTTAGCTCCAAAAATGCTAAAATGGCCACACTGCCCAGCACTCAAGAAAATTCATTAGCCTGATTAGAGTAACAAATTTCAAGGATCTAGAGAAGAATGACATCTCGCTCTAATAAAGAGTTTAAATATTGGATGCAATTTGTTGACAATTACACGCCGAAAACGTAGAATGCGAAGATCTCCGTAACCGCAAGCTATAGAGGACGTATTGAAACAAAGCAAATTGAAACAGCAGAATATGAGAGATAAGAAACTGACACAAACCAGGGAAATGGCTGTCAACGAATAAAATATATTACATTAATTAGTTAGAACCTAAGATTGAAAGGTCCATCAAACACACTAAATGCGAATATTGCCCTTAGTACTATGGGTCAAAGATATTCTGAAGTTGCAAAACGAAACACAATTTTACAATTAAATACATCGAATTGACAACATGAAAATTACAAAATCTTACAAAATCTTATCCAAACTGGATGCTATTGAATCATTTAACAAAGTATTAGATGTCCGTTTAAATATATTAGAAAAAAACTTTTTGTACGCTAAATTAACTGTAATATTCTAAAAATTAGGTAGTGGAATGCCTTATGCCTGCTCCGTCATAAGGAAGAACTCGATTTATTTTAGAGGAAGAACGAGTTGATGTAAGCCTTGTAAGTGAAACGCACTTTGTTAAACTTATATCCATGTACGCTAAAAACTATGATATATATCACACCATCTACCCCAGCAATAACGCTCGGTAGCAGCTCTAAAATTATAGGAAAATCTCTTGGCCATTGGATGGAAAATGAAATTTGTTTCGATCAGTTTCAAGCAACTACAATTACTATAAATGTAAATAGAAACTATCTGTCACATCGGCATATAGTCCACCAAGACATAAAATAAAATGCGATCAGTACATGCAACAAATGGGATACCTAAAACATAGATTCGTTATGCGTGGAGATTACAATGCAAAATATACGCATTGGGGATCAATATTAACAACGACAAAAGGAAATGAATTATTAAACGCAATTAATCAAAAAGGGATGCCAAGTAGCTTCAACTGACACAAGGAAAACTCCGGATCTCATTGAGTTCCTTATAACATGGAATGTTGATATAAACAAGATTTCAGTGGAGGATGGATATGTTTTAAGCTCTGGCCACTCTCCCATATATTTAATATACGACTATCAAACTAGATAATAAAAAAAATAAATAAATCAGTCCAAATCACGCCTATTGAAGCACAAATGGCAGTATTTTCGTACGTAATTATCTGAAAAATCTAACCTATGACATGGCACAAACATTCGCTGAATATGTACAATGACTTTTCTCCAGTAATCCCAGTAACCAAATTGTCAGCACAGAAGACTGCAAAAAAGACAATCCAAATATATTAATCCTATGGAAGAAAATGGAAAAAACTTTTGCAGACGACACCATCCTCATGGCGACAGGACAGGATATAGCCGAGTCTGTAAGCAAACTCCAAGCAGCTCTGAACAGTGTTTATTAATGGAACGTAAAGCGGGTTTTTAAACTTAATAACAATAAATCTATTCACTTTGATAACTCATTAAAACCTATAAATTATATACCGAAATATCTTTGGATACTAAACTCATTTGGAGAGTACATATAAGAAAAAAGAGCGACTTTGCACATTCGAAACCGTGATTTACAGCAAGACTTAAAATTAATACTGTCAAATATTAAAGCAACAAACTTATTGCAAGTATCAAATCATCCTAGAAGACTTTCACGTAAAAAGCCCTTTGATTTGCTCCGACTTGAGAACTGAAAAACCAAATAGCTTTTCTACATCCACTTAATTAACATTATTGAGCTAAATTATTTTTTTTTTTTTTTGTTATAAATAAGCTACTAGTTTATCACTACTAGACTAGACCTTTTTATTGTTTCTGGCTTAAATAAATGATAAAAAAGGGTTCAAAATTGGAGCCACCTATCGCATTTCGATCGAAAGATAGCATGATTACAAGAGACGGACAGACCGACATCGCTAAAACGACTTAGAATTTTACGCTGATTAAAAATACATGTACTTGTAGGGACGAATATGAGTATTTCGAGTAGTTACAAACGGAATGACGGAAATAGTAAAAAATACGTTTATATGTTTTTCGTCCATTTCACTTTTAAAATAATGTCATATAATCATGACCGGTGCCGCATTTATTTGTTTTTTATTTTTATTTACCGACATATTTAAAGAGTTTTGTTGGGTTTTAACACAATTCCCAGCTGTTTATAATTTTAATTGGCGTAATATGCCCATAAAGAAAACAAGTCCACATTCTATGTTTTTGCCCATCAACGGTCCTGAACAAATCAGAAATATTTTCCTGAGAATATTTTATATCTTTCTTGGTGTTGAACCATCGCCTCTGCATTATTCACTTCTTTTTCTCAAAGCCGTATTGGAATTGTGAATTTAATTCAATTTCATAATTCAGCATAGAATTAAGTAAACAATAGGTGTGTCTGGTTACTTTCCCTGCAGAAATGTTGCAAGGAAATTGCGAAAAGTAAACAGACGGTATTCCTGCACAAGCTTGCAACTAATCAGCTGATTTGTCAAAACAAACCAATTTGTTCCCCATTTAAAAGAATTAAACGAAAGGAACCACCACCAATTTCACAAGTTTTATAAATAAAAAGGAAATTGGCAATAAAATAAAATATGAGCAATAAAAGGAAGATAGATTTGATGTGTTCCGCGGAATCCTTTAAACCTGTTGCTAATGGCATTTGTCTAAAAATGTTGGAAATAGTCTTTTATTTTCTTATTACATATTAATATTTATGTTTTTCACATTTTGTAAAGTTGTTCTCCAAAAACATTTAGTCTTGTTAATTCCAAAACAATATTTTCAAATTAAAAGCACAAAAAGAAATAAGTAAACAATAGAAAACATCTGATTAAATGTCGATGAATGAGAAGAATAAGAGTTGCAAGAGATTGCAGGAAGAAATTTTTCCAGCAAGAATTTGCAAACTCTCACTGAAAGAACTGTCAAAATTTCTCTCCCCAACCGCTCTCTTTTGCAGAACTTTTGGGTTAACAGACGACTTCCAGTAACAATTTGTAACAATTGTTACAAACTTTAGGGTAACCAGACACACCTAATATTTTATACCATATAGTGTTTGTTTACTTAATTTTATGCTGAATTATGATATACGATTAAATTCTCGATTCCTTACACCCAATCCATAAATAAATCCCGTATTTGTTAGATGTATCGATTTAAATTCCAAAGTACCCGGATTTGAGAATTTGCATTAGCTGAGTCTTCTCGAAAGTTACCGCAATTATGTAGATTTTAAAATGCTAATTTTTCTGTTTTGATGGAACTTTAATAAAACAACAAATTCATAATTTGCGGTAACTTTATTTATTGATATACACAACAGGTTTAACAACAACTATTAACAGTAAATCTTAATAACGGCGGATATTTGGTATGCATATTATATATATCGCCTTATAGTATCGCCAAACAATTTAACGAACTGATTCAACTACAACAACTTAAGGAGAGAAAGGAACAGTGACACACAATGAAGATCGCCTTTCGAAGCATTCGCCACTAAGCGTGGGATTCATTTATAAGGATAGTTTTGTGTCGGTAGAATTTGTATCGTTATTTGCTTTTATGCATAAAATAAAAGAAATTATAAATACAAATTACCATTAGAAGCAATCATGTGCAGAGCATATATACTATTATTAAAATATGTAGTTATATATGGCTTGTTGAATTTCCAAGTATACTTACAGACACATGTTGGTAGTTCCTTTGGGGTCCATGAGCCATCTGATTGACAAGTGCGCTCATGTTTTCCAACTAATTCATATCCAGTGCCGCAATTGTATGTTATTTTGCAGCCGAAAGTATAACATTCTCCTGAATGCCATCCATTTGCTGGATCCGGTGGTTGGCCACATGAACGAGCTGTAACAGTTTAAACTATTATGTACGATTGAGTATTTTCATATGTATTTAATTGTATTTTACGTTCACACTGAATGTCTGGGCCATACCAGCTAGCCTGACCATCGATGGCCAAGCATTTGGCCCTGGGGAATCCATTAGTGACATATCCATTGTGGCAGTGATACTGTACAGTGGAGTCTAGATCGAAAGTTTCTTGATCTGGAAGAGCCGAGTTACGGGCATGTTCGATTTTAGGCGGCTTGAGGCAATATACTGCAGATAATTTTAAAAATATCAAAGATCGATTTTGTATTAATAAGTAGTTAGATATAATTTACTGTTTTGCTTGCATGCAGGTTCAGCTCCAGCCCAATTTCCATCGGCTTGACATAAACGACTTTGTAGTCCCACAACGTGGTAACCATGAGGACATGAATATGAAGCTCGTTGTCCAAAATGTCTTCCTGTTAATGTGACTTGGCCCAATGAAGGCTGCGCAAGTTCAGGACACTCGCGGTCTGCAAATATAAAGTAATTAATGTTTATTGTTGTTTTATTGAAATTTAACTACAATAGATAGCTAAGGGAACATAAATCCTATCAATCAAACAGAAAATGTATCCCTATTTAAATTAGATAACTAAAAAATTAGTTTATAAAGAATGACGAAATGTCCAGAATATGATGTAGTTTCTGTAATAAATGAAATACTAATAAATACCTCTTGGAAGTATTACTATAAATTATGTACGTTGTCTTGCCTTATAATTTTTTCATAAAAATAATTATAATGCATTGAAGTTAATTGTTAAAGTAAAATGTTTATGTTGTTGCAAAATAGTTAGGCTTAATCCCATTATTGTTGTTTTTTTTTTTCTAAAAACAACGTTTGTTTATAAGTGGAGAACGATGGTAATGTGTACCAGGGGGTAAGGCAGGGAATACCTAGGTTTCGGAAAGAGTGGCAAATTCTCACCAGTACCCTTGTTCCCAATAATGGGATTAAGCCCGACCATTTTGCTACAACAAAATACTAGGGTATCCCGATCAAAGAAGCCAACACTATTCTAAAATGTTTATGGAATTGCAATAAAGATATTTTGGACTTCACAATTTCCCTCGCGGAAGCATTTGTTGCCACCAATTTTTTGACATTGTTATTGTTTTGGTGGTAGTGTAAATGTTGAAACTGGTTGAGATTTGGGCCGCGGACCTCATTGTTCTTACTTGAGTAAGAAAGTAAATAGAGCATGGATCACTTAAGCACACATTTAATAAAACAGTTCACTATATTGATTACAAGCGTACAAAAGAATTTTGGTGAGAATTTCCCAGAAAAAAATTTATTCGAGGTGGAATTCAAGCTTGATAGTGTGATTCCTTTATATTTGGCTGGAAAAACCACAAGTGGCTATTGTTAGAGCACTCCAACATTTAAATGTGAATAAATCTTTTGTGTCTCGTACCATAGCTCGTTACCGGGATAGTGGTAGCGTAGCCCGACGTCAAGGAAGTGGACGGAAGAAAACAGCAACATCAGCAATATCATCTTGATCGAAACCCACGTCGCAGTGGCCGAAAAATGGTTCGTGAGCTGAACATATCGCAATATTCCATACGGCAAATATTAAAAAATGAGCTCGGGGTAAAGCCATTGAAATTCAAAAAAGTGAAAGAACTTACACAGCAACAGAAAGAAAATAGACTCAAAAGAGCTAATGAGTTGCTTCGCTTAGCCGAAAATGGTGAACTCAAACGCCGGCCATGGTGATGGTGTGGGCCGCCATAACAGCCGATGGTCGCTCCCTGCTCGTATTAATCCACAGTGACATATATTATATTATCGCGAAAATATTCTGGAGGGTGTATTAAAGCCTTGGGCACGCAAACGTTTTGGCCACAGTCCTTGGACATTCCAACAGGACTCAGCATCATCGCACTCAGCACGTGCCACCCAAGCATGCGGTACCTCGCTTCATTTCCAGCGCACATTTTTTTTAATTGTTTAATTTATTGAATCTTTCATATATTTTAATGAAAATAACAATAAGGTTTCATATCTTATATAATAATATTTTTTATAGGGAGGTTGTCAATACAATCACACTATATTTTTTTCATGCTTTAATTATTAATTATTGTTAATTTTTTATACCCTCCACCATACTATGAAGGGTATATTAACTTTGTCATTCTGTTTGTAACTCCTCGAAATACTCATGTCAGACCCAAAAAAGTATATATATTCTTGATCAGCGTAAAATTTTAAATCGATTTAGCCATGTCCGTCTGTCTGTTGTAATCACGCTATCTTTCGAACTAATTGAGATAGAAGGCTAAAATTTTGCACACGTGTTTATTTTTCCAGTAGGCAAGTTAAGTTCGTAAATGGGCCATGTAGGTCCACGTTTTCATATAGCCCCCATACATAAGAACATCCCGATATTCGGTATTTTCATGATTTTAGCGACATTATTCACCGGAATTGTTTCAACTTTGGTATTTGCAGTTCGAAATAGATACTACAGCCTATGACAGAAAGTGATCTGTGCAGGTCCACGTCTTCGTATAGCCCCCATATAACGGTACCTCCCGATATTCGGTATTTTGATGATTTTAGCGACATTATTCACCGGAATTGTTTCAAATTTATATTTGAGATTCGTAATGGATACTACAGCCTATGACAAAAAATTGTCTGTGCAGGTCCACGTCTTCGTATAGCCGCCATATAACGGTACCTCCCAAAATTCGGTATTTTGATGATTTTAGCGTCATTATTTAACGGAATTGTTTCAAATTACGTATCGTAATGGAAACTACAGTTTGTGACAGAAAATTGTCTATGCAGGTACAGGTCTTCGTATAGGTCCCATATATCAGTACCTCCTTATATTCGGTAGGTGCAATACCCTCCGAAATCTTTTGAGATGTCGTATTTGACGTTCGTAGTCGATGCTATAGCCTGTGACAGAAAATTGTCTATGCTGGCCTAGGTCTTCGCACAGCTCCGATGCAACGGTACCTCCCTTTGAAAATACGATACGATATTTTGATGACTTTACATTATTATTCATTACATTACATTATTCACCGTTTATTTCAAGTTTCGAATTTGAATAGGGTAGTGGCTTATGACAAACAAGGCCTATGTAGGTAAACATCGTATAGACCACAATATAACGGCTATATTCGATATTTTTAAATTTTAACAGAATTTTTTATGGACTTTAGTCTTATCGATTTTCTTCCCGTTTAGCATAACAGTGGGCGATGAAAACAACGTTCAATTGGCCAGACAAGAGCTGAAAATAATGAGAGAGTAAGACAAAACATAAACTATGTGATAGGAAGAGTGTCACGTCTACGCAGTCTATCGTTTCCTCCGAGTAGTAGGTGTTGGCGGGCCAAGCTATTTGGGTGCTCGGATAGTTTGCTTAAGTACTTTCGGCAAAGCTTCTTTATTTCTTCTTCAACGGTAAGTATATTTAAGTCCTTGTGGATGTTTGCGTTTCTTATGTACCATGGTGCACCTGTAATAGATCTAAGAATATTCGATTGTTTACTTTGTACCTAGAGGCACTAGCTGTGCCCCAGAGCTGTATGCCAATCCATATTGGCTTTATTACAGTCTTATATAATAGAACTTTGTATTCTAATTTAATAGAAAAAAGTATACCAACCAATTAACCACTCAAGGTTGGCCTTTTTATTTTAATTTGCGTGATTTTTGCATCGATGTGTTGCTTCCATGTAAGACTTCGGTCCAGGTGCTGAGAGATATTTTACTGTGTCTTTCTGTGGAACTTGGGTATTAAAGATTTTTTTGAGAAGATCTACATGGTTTTGTAGTTCTTTCGACGCTATCGTAGGATCCTTGTGTATGCTAATGAAAGCAGTATCATCAGCAAACGTTGAGGTGAGAGTTTCATTGGTTGTGGGCATATCGGCAGTAAATAACACATACAGAATTGGTCCTAAGATACAACCCTGTGGGACACCGGCCAATATTTTTCTCGAATTTGATAGTACGCCTTCGATTTAACAACAAATGTGCGATTTGACAAATAACTGCAAAAAAGTTTATGAGTGTTTTTAGGTAGAGTTTCACAAATTTTGTATAGAATTCCAAGATGCCAGACTCTGTCAAACGCTTGGGAAATGTCTATAAATTACGCGGAGCAATATTCCTTCCTTTCGAATGCCATTCTAATGTTTGTGACTATGCGGTGTACTTGCTCAATAGTACATTGGTTCATATGGAAGCCGAATTGGTGGTCGGGGATAATATTGCTACTTGTAAAATGGGGAGTTAACTTTCTTAGTAATGTTGTTTCGAACAGCTTTTTTAGAGTATATATAGAAGACTGATGGGTCTATACGATTTGATCTGCGTTGGATCTTTTCCAGGTTTTGGAATCCTTACTATTTCAGATTCTTTCCATACAGACGGGAAGTACCCTACTCGAAGAATGCTGTAAATATAAATAACAATAGTTTAACGGCCGGTGTTGGTAATTTCTTGAACATGTTTGGAGAAATCCAATCTTTACCCGGGGATTTTTTTAGTTTCGTCGAGGCTATAGAACTTTCGATTTCTTTTAGAGAATATCGTATTGGATTCGGAACAATATCGTCAATTAGAGGTTAAACAACTGTCGATGGTCCGGGATTTGGGGTAAATACAAATTAAAGGTGTTTGGCAATTGCGTTTACTTTTTCTTGCCCAAGTCCCATTTTCTACCCGATATCTGGTATTTTTATGATGTTAGCCACATTTTCCAATGGAATGGTCTGAAAATCCGCACGAGTTCTTGTCAGTAATTTATTCATTGAAAGGTGCACGATATCATATAGCCCACATATAATAGTACCCCCCTATACTCGGTATTTTGATGATTTTAGCCACATTTTTCAACGGAATTGTCTGAAATTCTACACAAGGGGTTCTTTGTAAACACTTTACCACCTAACAGAGAGTTCTCTGTATAGGCCTATGATATCGTATATCCCCCATATAACGGTACCCTCCGATATTCGGTTTTTGATGATTTTAACCACATTTTTAAACGGAATTGTCTTAAATTCTATACAAGAAATATTTGTGAGTACTTTATCCCTAGACATAGATTTGTCTATATAGGTCCACAATATCGTTTATCCCCCCATATATCGGAACCTTCCGAGATGTGTTATTTATTTGTTAGTGTGATAATGTTAATTATTTATTTTTATTTATTTGTATATATTTTTTTTTTTTTTTTTTGAAAAATTTCAAATTCGTTTCAAATGGTTGAAATGTTTTTTTTTTTTTTTAACAAGCATGAAAGAAAATTAATTAATTTCAATTGCAATATGTTTTTTTCTTTTTTTTTTTTGTCAAATTGTATGCCTTAATTAAATCGTTTTTGTAAACAGAATCAAAGCGTATTTTTTAACGTTAGTACACAAGTCCCTCATATTATTGATTTATTTGAAATTTTTAAAAAGATGAGTCCTGCCTTAAAGATTTTGATAT